AATCAGATACTATTTCGTCATCACGCTTTGTTACCTTACCTGTTTATACCACATGAGGGCGTTTTTTTATGGCAAGATGGCGCAAACTGAAGTCCTTCGCAGGTTTATGGTTTCTCATATTTAAATCATCATAACTCTGAAGATAATCATTTTTTTAATTTTTTTTTTCAAATTTATAATCAATATACATAACTTGATAAATACAAACACCAAAATAGGCTCTATTTAGTTCCCCTTTAAAGTAAATGTTTTTATTTATTTTGAGGCAGCTGGTAGTACTTTTTTCAAGTTTTTCTCTCGAATTTTAAAACAATCATGTATGTACTTAGCATTTTGAGGAACTTATTTTGTACTACTATTGCTTAGTATTGCAACTATTCGTATGAAAATATTAATGAAAAGTGATCAAACTGATTTTCAAAAATTTAACTCATCTTGTTATATTTTTTAATTAGATAATCGAGAAATTAATTACAAACACTGTGGACCCCCTGTGTCCCTATAAAACAGGTCATCATTGATCCTGAATTGAGAATTTTATTTTTTTTACATATTTAATAATAGCACCTAAACATAGAATTAAGTCATGTAAAGTAAGTCATATAACTCATAACATGTTATCACATGACCAACTATGATTGGTAAAGTACCAATCATACATGTTAATTTATTTTAATTATACTTATCAGTGGTTACATAGTTGCAGGCTTGATTTGCAGAATATTTCATTAAATAAAATTTCATTTGTCATTACTAATAGTTAATGTATCATCGGAGTACTGTAAACACTAATTATTCAATGTTTTTTGGCTCAACGGACTATAGGTCCGCTGAGCCTATGGGATGGGTTTCTGTCCTGCGTCTGTCGTCGTCTATCTGTCTATCTGTCTGTGCATGACTTCTTCTCAAAAACCGCCAAACCGTTTGACTCGATTTTTGGTGTGTGGATGCCTTGAGTGTAGATGTGGTATATACCTTGGGTGGACCTCTATCAGATTTGTTCATTTCGTGTCCATATCTTCAATTTTCTATTTTTAGCGAATATTTTGTTATTTTTCATCAAAAATAGTACTTTTGACTTGTTCTTCAAAACCAGTAGTCCAAATTCTTTGATACTTGGTACACATGTAGCTTGGATGACACTTCATCCAGTCACTAAAAGTGGCCAAATTTATCAAAAATTTCAGAAGAAGATTATACAATGATGCCATATTGAAATTATATGCTCACAGGGAGATATGTAATGTTTCCCATTTGTTCTGTCAACTGTTTCTCATTCTCACATAGCACACAGGAGTTCTAAGTTTTCTTTGATTGGTCTATTGTGATTGTAATGAAAACATAACCAGTCAACATATTTAAAATGTGTATAGACATGATTGATTTTGGTGGAAAATTATGCAAATTGCCTAATTGACATACCGATATTTAGACTATTTTGGTGATATCTTGAGAACCATTTAATATGTTTTAATAAACTTGGTGCATAGATGTGTTGGGGCATTTTCCAGATATATTTAGTTTTTGGTGGAAATTTATACAAATTATCTAAATTGCAAAACAACTAGTGAAATTCAAGCTATTTGGGTGCTATTTCAAAAACCCTTCAACATATTTCAACAAAACTTGGTATATACATGCAGGCCTTGCCGTCTATGGCGAGCGATCGGTGATGACGACGATTGAGAAGGCAAGTGAATCACCAAAATCAAACGGCCTTTTTCAGGGCTATGAAATCCTCCAAAAAGAGAATCGTTTTTATTAATATTACAAAATAAATGTGTTTAGTTTATTGCCAAAAATTAAAGATTTTCGCACGTTTTTCATGAGTTAATATAAATTTTGCATGTATTTCTGAGTTTCCGTAATATCACCGATAAATTGAAAATTTGTTGTAGTTGAATTGTGATTCATTAATTTTTTTCATTGAAAAATATGTCAGCCAACTGGGACCGGCGATGCTAAATACAAACTCTGGTATTATTTATACATGTTGAGTGATGATTATCCTGCGAAGGGTTCTAGCTAGACTGGCGAAGTCGGGACTTCTTTTTTGTTTTACAAAAAAAATATTAATGTCAATTTAGCCTTTTTAACGTGATCGCAAAAAATAGGATGACTGCAGTTAGGTTAGTTTTCGCACAGTCCCTCTATCACATAGAGGGACTGTGGTTTTCGCGATTACGCTAAAAGGACTAAATGTAAATTATTTATTTCTTTTTGTAAAACAAAAAAAAATCCCGACTTTGCCAGTCTCGGTTCTAGCGTGCGTTTTGCAACATTCCTAAAGTGGAACACTGGTGGAGATATTGGATATCGTCGTGTGGAAACGGATGAGGGTCAAACACTTGTAGTCAAAGTATGGTGTAACCTCTGTGCCAAATATATGCAGAAAATTCAGGCCGATGTAACCATCAAAAGGCAAGCCAAAAAAGACCTAATGATTTACATTAATGGGACAAATAGCGTGACAAAACATAATGTCTCTAGACATTTATCATCTGACAATAACATTGATCCTGATTAAAATGTGAGATTGACTGTGACACATGGTTCAATTTCAAAGTGAGTTGTGTGATTTAAAAATAAATAAATATAAAAGAATGACTGTAGTATTTTATTTCCATAATAATTTATTCATTATAATTATAGTCATAGGCTATTATAGTTAACTAAAACACCCTGGGACCACCCTTATTGCAAATCATATAATTTTCTAAAATCACTCGCCTCACTGCTTTTAGGAGAGAAATTTGTAATCACTGCCATAACTCGCCTCAATGCTTGTAGGAGAGCAATTTTTCACTCGCCATCCATTTTCAAAAGGCAAGCACTGTACATGTATTACGAATTCAGATAATTGCAAATATCATGTTATGTTATTCTCTCAACACGCTGGAGTTCTTTTTAAGCTCTCTTTGATTCTAATTTTATTGAATATTTCTGTTATTTTTGTAAAAAATTGCACTTTTAGCATTATGTTTTATTGTCTCACTCACTGCCTTTTGGAGTATTTGTCATATACAGCACTAATTTTTTGTACAATAGCCATTGAGCAACAGGCCATTGGCCTATTTTTAGTCCCCGACGCAGTCCGAAAACGGGGACTTATGTTTTGACCTCCGTGTGTCCGTGCGTGCGTGTGTGTGTGCGTCTGTGCGTGCGTCCGGACCTGTATCTTAAAAATGCCTGGACCAATCACTATCAAACTTCACACATACATCATACATGATATTATACATATGCACGTCAATTTGTTTCATAATCTGATTCAAGATGGCCGAATGGCGGCCATTTTTGTGCTAAAAATCATCAAAATCGAGCATTTCTCGGTTGTTTACAAATGGATTTGTTCAAACCTTGTATATACGTTGGACATTATAGGACCTTGATGCACATCATTTTGTTTTACGATCTGATTCATGATGGCCGAATGGCGGCCATTTTTGTGCTAAAAAATCATAAAAAGCAACCATTTCTCGGCTGTTTACAGATGGATTTTGTTCAAACTTGGTATATACATTAGACATTATAGGACCTTGATGCACATCATTTTGTATTACGATCTGCTTCAAGATGGCAGAATGGCAGCCATTTTTGTTCTAAAAAATTCTAAAAATCAACCATTTCTCAGCTGTTTACAGATGGATTTTGTTCAAACTTGGTATATACATTAGACATTATAGGACCTTGATGCAAATAATTTAGTTTTTCAGATAAGATTCAAAATGGCCGACTGGCGGCCATTTTGTATTAATGAATTGTTCTCGTGCCATATATCTCTGACCTGCTTTCACTGATTATGTTCAAATTTTAAATATTCTCTATACATCATGTCATAGATAGACAGATATATTGGTTTGACGATCCTATTCAAAATGACCAAATGGTGGCCTTTTTTGTGCTAAACAATCATCAAATATCAAGCATTTCTGGCATTTATAGATGGATTTTGTTCAAACTTGGTACATATAGTAGACATTACAGGTTTCTGATGCACATTATTTATTTTTCAGATCGGATTCAAAATGGCTGTCTGGCTGCCATTTTGTTTTAATGAATGGGCTTCTAGACCCATATCTCCGACTTGTTTTGACTGATAATATTTTCAAATTTTAAATATTCATTATACATCATGTCATAGATAAACAGATATATTGGTTTGACTATCCTATTCAAAATGGCCGAATAGTGGTCATTTTTGTGCTAAAAAATCATCAAATATCAAGCATTTATGGGTGGATTTCGTTCAAACTTTGTATTTTTCAGATTGGATTCAAAATGACTGACTGGCGGCCATTTTGTTTTAATGAGTGGGCTTCTAGAGCCATATCTCTTAAATGCTTTGACTTATTATATTTAAATTTTATATATTCGTTATACATCATGTTATATATATACATGTATTCAAAATGGCTGATTTTGAATGCTGTTCCAGAGCATTATCTCTCAATATTGACAGTACTTGTTTGACGATCAGATACAAATGTCAATCATTTCAATGTTAAAAAATCATATTCCTGACATGGTTATATTCCAGCTATATTACTATAACCAAACTACTATCTTAAATTTGATAACTACTGGGACTGTGCCGTGCATGGCTCGTTAATTTTGCATTTATCGCCAAGAAATAAAATTATACCCACATAAACAATATGTAAAATAACAATAGAATTCATTGTTTCCTTGCCATGTTTGTGAACTTAAAATACAGTAACATTACTCAAAATTATTCAGTCTGAACTTCTTGTATGTGCTGAATAGTTTCACAATGTTTGTGTATGCACAAAATTATTAAACGTACATATCATGGCATTTACCATACCATATCTAATGCGCCCTACCATACCATACCATACCATACCCCATACCATACCATACCATACCATACCAGCCAACCCAACCTAATGTACCATGAGAATGATCTGCTACTTTACTATCATATTCTTTTTTTCACTAGGTGGTCTGGAGAAGGAAGACTTTTCTACGAGAATGGGTAAAATTTCAAATAAAGTTGAGGGTGTGAAGTTTGAACTGAATTCTTTTATTACTAAGAAATATGCCGATTTTGATCCTACGTTTGTCACCACCATGGATCTACATGGTAAAGTGGAATCACTAACTAAGGAGATGACATCGTTGAATGTAAAAATTGAGGTAATAATATGTGTAACATAATGTCTTTTAAAAAGCATAACAAGCACCAAATCTGATAATTATGGATTCAATGTCCTTCAAACTGTCTGTCTCTAGTCTACAGTAAACTTTATAAATGATTCCTAGTGATTTCAGCATGTTTTATCTGAAGAAAAATTGTATTAAAATCAAAGTGAAGGTTGTCTCTACTTATACGCCAATGTACTCACAGAAGGAAGACCTGAAATTGATGGCAGAATACTTGATAACTAATTTGGCTAAAAGTGTTTTCAACATAGTGGGCCCTGATAGTTGATAACACTTAATAAATCTATATGCATGTGTATTTCTTTATGATGCTGATGATTATACTAGTTGAGGTTAAATCTTTGTGATCTCAGTTTTTGTGAAATTCACTACGTTCAATTACCCACCATAGACTCCGGTCAGTCAAAATGACTATTTTGAACTGTAGGCATTAATCAGCGATTCTGCCGGTGACTGAGAGATAGAATCCAGGTCAGGGGAAGCCCCATGACCTCAAGATTCTTTTACCCCTTACGTCACGAATCCATGTGACCGAGGCCACCTGGCAGCGCCACAGGTAGCCGTCCTTCACTCTTAATTTCTCTCCACCTCGAGTGGAGATGAAATCTAGCGAGCTCTGCTGGATCGCCTGCTTTTTTTCCTGTCCGGATTTATAGCTTGGGTTGTTGCCGCTGCTCGGCATCCGTCATGGTAGCTGGTAGGATAAGTTTTTCTTGTCTTTTTTTACCCTCATGTCGTTTTCCCCTTTGTGTGTAGTATTTTTCACAGCAAAGAAATCAAAATCCGGCGCCACTACGTAGTCACATGTTGATTTCATGGCGGCACCTTTTACAACTGTAATTCGTCTCCCTCATGCATGTCGTCTTTTATTTTTAATGTATTTAGCAATATATCGATGTAATGACAGCTCCAAGGCTCGCTGCCTTTTTCTTCCGGTCTCCTCGTCTTTCGAGCCGACCGTACAGTGGTTTATTCAGAATCTACCGGCATAGAACCCGCATCCGAGATGCTTTGTCGTGGCTACGTGTGGGTTTCGGGGCTTTTTGCGTGAAAACGTGTTTTT